TCTGGTTAGCTCAATAGGTAGAGCGTTGGACTGTGAATTGGGCGCATGTCACTTTCGTTGTGACTGATCATGAAATCTTTTCTACGTTCATTTGCACTGTACCTCTGTTCTAGTATATACAGAAGTTTCAGTTCCTTGTGAAAGTGAAGGCAACTTGTACTGGTAAACTACCTGACAGCCTGTCCAAGAACGATGCGGTGGCTGAACTGTGCTCTGGTAAATTCAATGTGCCCTTCTGCCGTGATCCGGAATGAAAACTACCAACACCACCACTACAGGGTCAAAAGAAAGGTATGGTACAGTAACTGGAAGAAGCAGGTGCTTGTGATCGCAAGACATGATACACAATGAACAGTATATGCTTGCAAGACATGGTTCAGTGATTTTGTTTATCTACCAGAGTATGCTGTTACATATCCCTATAGCAACATGTGCAATGAATTCGAAGGACTGAGAATACATTTTATTTATTGCCTCTAGTAAAATTTGAAGAAATGAACCTGTTGGAAATGTAAATAACATTTTTACAAATTGGAGCCGCAAAGTGTGTTTCAGAGGACATTGTGTAATTTGTATGCTTTTGAAGCCTTTTATAATATATATTCAAAGGAACTTACAATTTCATTCTTAAGTACATCCTAAAAACATTGTTTTAACCATTTTACCAAATTTGAACCTTTCCAAAAATTTAACTCTTCCTTGGCATAAATAATCATCGTTTTTTTATCAGCAAATATATTCATTTATTTTTAATTTTCATTATGCAAATGAGGTCAAGTGCACCATATAAGTTAGTTATATCAGAATCTTTCAAATATTTCTACTTGAAAGACTCTAGTTACATTACTTTAATTATAATATCAAAATTGATTTTGCCATGGAAATTTCTAAGAATCACTAGATCTAAGATGGATGCTTATAATGACTTATTTTCACTTAATATAATGATATTATAAAACCTTTGCTTTTATGGTAGAAAATGAAAATGAGTTGAGATATCTATGATTTTTACTCGATCCTTAAATCACGCAGATGATAAAAATGCCACAAAAATTAAATAATCAAAAGTCATAACAAGTTTACCTATATTATTGACACTGACAACAACAATAGAGCTAAGATGGTTGTGCATTGCTCACCTGAAAAAACATTGCTAGGGTATGGCCAATTTTGACGCCAGGGGAAAGATTTTTATAACTTTAATAGAAAACCACAAAGTGATGCTAGTTTCGTGCAAGAAAAAAAATCTTGAAACAAAGTGATGCCTCAAAAGCACTTAACACAACAAAATTGCATGAAAATTGCAGACTCGGTTTGATTGAGTCTGTACATGAGGAATAATGAATAAGTGCAACATCCCTCCCAAGTAAATGTCATTATTATCAAATTAAATATTGAATTCACCCACTTGTTAAACTAGAAATGTGTCCATAGGACACGGATACCCCCACACGCCACTGTTCTGTCAATCTTATGACTCTAGGTCAAATATTTTTTGGACTACACGTGCCACAAGTTGAAAACTAAAAATCAACAAAGGGCCATAATTCTGTTAAATTTGGTCGCAGCAAAAATTCCCTCCTTTACTACCATCTACACATTAAGGTTGTTAATCCCTGGAAGTTTAAGCAAAATCTGCGATCCGGTATAGTGAAAAAATCAACAAAGGGCCATAATTCTATTAAATTTAGTCACAGCAAAAATTCCTTCCTTTACTACCATCTACACATTAAGGTTGTTAATCCCTGTAAGTTTAAGCAAAATCTGCCATCCGGTTTAAGAGGAGTTGCGTTCACAAGATTTCGGGACGGACGGACGGACGTCCGGCCGAAATGGAATAAGGGGCCATTTCTTTTGTTATTTTCTATTGTTTAATAGAGGGCCAATGGCCCCTTACTCTATTGTTACGGAATGAATTCTATTGTTCTCCTTTGTTCTGTTTACAGTTAGATGGCCCCCTATCCCTATTCGGTAGTGCGGACTGACGGACGGACAGACGGACAAGTGCAACGCTATATGCTCCCACATTGTGGGGGCATAAAAATCTGTAAAAATGAATTCAACAATTATCAGCACCCTAGCCCTACATCCATTCAACAACAAGATATGTTTGTAAAACATATATGCCCCCTACCTGCAACCAATTAGTCATGTGGCCAGGTTATTGTGACAGATTTTTGACCAAGTGACCAAAAAATCAATATGGGTTATCTACTGGTCATGACTAGTCACTAGGTCATTGTGACCAAAAAGGTTGTTTGCAGCAATTTTATGACAATGTTATCACAAATCTAACCAAATAATATGTTTTTAGTTTAATAAGAAATATAAACCAAGGCAACTTGAGTTGTGGAGTTATTGGTAACAAACCATTTTAAAGTACAAGGTCAATGAGACTTTGACCCTAAAATCAATAGGGGTAGTCAACTAGCTATGACCAAAGCACTTATGCAGTTTGAGGGCCAAGGGCCCATGGGTTGTCAAGTTATTGATCGGAATTGTAGTTACCTACAAAGCCAATGTTACCCTGACCTTTAACCCCTTAACTCCAAAATCAAACCTCTGACCAACTTTGAAGTTCCTAGGCCTAAGCATTCTTTATTTATTGATCAAAAACCGTTTTTATCTACAAGGTCAATGTGACCTTGACCTTTGACCCCAAATCAATAGGGGTCATCTACTAGCGAAGACCAATCACCATACCAAGTTTGAAGTTCAAAGGCCTAAGCGTATTTTGGTTATTGATCAGAAACCGTTTTACCTTCATGATCAATATGACCTTGACCTTTGACCCTAAAATCAATAGGGGTCATTTATAGGTCATGACCAATCCTGATACCAAGTTTGAAGTTCCTAGGCCTAAGCCTTCTTTAGTTATTGATCAGAAACCGTTTTTACCTTCACGGTCAATATGACCTTGACTCTAAAATCAATAGCAGTCATTTATTGGTCATGACCAATCCCGATACCAAGTTCAAAGTTCCTAGGCCTAACCGATCTTTAGTTATTGATCGGAAACCATTTGGTCTATGGACTGGCGGACCGACCGACAGACAAATGCAAAGCAATATACCTCCACTGCTTTGAAGGGGGGCAGAATTAGTGACAGTGCTCTATCCATGCATTTATTCAACAATTCTCAATGCCCTAACCATGCATCCATGTCTATAAACCAAGATATATTCCCTGCAACTGGTGAAACGTAAGTTATAGGATACTGTTTATTTGTTAAATTTATGTCTGAAATTGTCTGTAGAATACTATGCTTTTCCTTCCCTGTAACTAAAACAGTAACCTCCCTTGCTTTATTAATAAGGGGAGGTAATAAACTCATTCTATCAAAACTTCCTTCAATTTTTGATTTTGTTAGTGCTACAAGTCTTTCAACTTTTTTAGCTGGAATATATCCTGGAAATAAAGAAGCAGTATGCCCATCTGTGCCTAGGCCCAACAATATGAGATCAAATTTTTGAGCTTGAATTGAATGACTTATCATATCTTCATATAAATTACTTCCCTTGTTTTCAACTGCACAGATTTTTCCTGCAAAGCTCACAGGCATTGGATGAATATTGAAATACGGTATATTAGTAAATTTAATCAAATTTTCATGTAGAGAGAAAAAATTAGACTGTTTATGCTTCTGTGAAACACAGCGTTCATCTACTTGCCAAACATGAGTTTCCTCCCATGGAAACATTGGAAAACTGCTAAGTATTTCCTTAAACAAAATAATAGGTGTGTTACCACCAGAAAAAGCGATATGAAATATTTTTCTTTCTCTAATAGAACTTTCTGCATTTCTAAAGATGTATGAAGCTAGGGCATTTATCAAAGCTTTTAGGGGTTTACAAAATAAAGTTTTATTTCTAAATAATGGGGGAATTACTGCCATACTTTTGATAGCAGGTTTATCAATATTTCTTGCATACATGGAATGACTTTGATCCATATATCTTAACTTAAAGCCGTCTACAGTAAAGTTCAGATTTTCAGGACTATATTCCTTGTACAGCCTTGGAGGTATATGACTAGTTTCTTGTATAACTGCATCCCAAATATCCCACAGCAGTAACATTCTAGTCTTAGTAACAAATGTTTCTTTGATGTTATGGTAAAGATCATGAATGACCATTGTATAAGCTGGCGTGTCTTTTACCGGAACAGCATAGTGAAAATCTCCAGGACTTTGTCCATGAATAGCGCTGTCTTTGGAGGTCATGGGGAGTTCTTTCATAGTGTCTGGCCATGATGGATTAAAAAGAGACTTTGAAACAAGTATTCCTGCAGATGGAACTGGACCGTGTCCAATCTGGAAAACCAACTGCCTTGGGTATTTGGTAAAACTTGAATTTCCATCTGCACAACCACTGACACAAAACTCTTTTTCCCTAAACAATATCCTAATGTGACTTGAACGCTCATCCATATGCTTACCAGACATCAGAATAAAAGGTACCCTACGCCATCTTGGATTATTAATTTGCAGTAGTGCAGCAGCAAATGTTGGAGTGAGATGTGATTGGTCAATATTCTTTATTTCATTTCTTGCCTCTTCCATATATCTTGAATACTGTCCAAGCAATAAAGCATCCCTGCCTACTGGTTTTATTTGTTGTAACAAAGTCAGTTTGTATTCTTCAATCATCCTATAATCAGAAACGTTGAAAGGCAGCTCCATAGCAACAAGGGCAACTAACTCTGTAAGATGATTCTGCATGACATCTCTGACTACACCTGTCTGGTCATAGAAATCTAGTCGTCCTAAATCAACAGGAGACAAGAAAGAAATAACTTTTCTGCATAATATAATCATTCTTCACATAAAAGAATCTAGTCTCTAAGGGACAGAAATTCACAAAACTGAGTGGCTACGGATTCAAAGTCACTCTCCTTGACTATTGGCCAAGAAGGTGTTTGAATGCATCTATAGAACATTCCCTAACATAAACAAAGTATGTGTAACAATGTTTCATGCCTACCTTTCAAAAAATTGTCAGATGAACCAAATTAAAGGGTAAAAAGAAGTCCAAGTATGTATAAAACACATTTCTATCATTTTGTAAAATGTATGTAGTTTTTGAAATGTAAAATTGAATGTTATTTACGCTAAATCAGAAATGCAATGTTGCAGCATGTAAGTGTATAAGCCTTTACAACATTTATATTTTAAAAACAAAAAAATTTTCCCCTTAAAAGCCTTTTATGTAGATAAAACTGACCTCTTTCTTTATCATGAAAAAAAAAATCCAGAAATTTCAGCAATACCTTTATTTCCAATCCTCTCCTTCATGACAATCTCAACTCTGTCTACAAACTGTCCATTTAGCAGTTTATCAAGTTCTTCTCTATTTTTAGCTCTGAAAAATAAAAACAATTTTAACATGGTAACGCTACAGGCTAGGTATTATCATAGCTTGCATTCTATGGATTAACAAATGTCTGCAAATAAATATTAAGTATATTTTATTGGAGCTAAAAGTTTAAGAGCATAAGAGTGAAAGTATATTTTTTCTCTGTCAATTTAAGGAACTCCACTGAGGTCAAAAAGCCTAAAGACATAAAAAGTGTATTTCTTACATGAATAAGCTAGGGTACTTAAAACAGAAAGAATTGTGCAAAAGATAATTAAGAAATACATGTATACTACATAAATTGAAAATTGTATTTTTGTGCTATCTCGATATGAGTGAAATGGTTTTTAATTTTTGTTCATTTTCATAATTAGACAGTGTCCATTCTAGGAGGGGGGATGGGGGGATTCACCCATATTTTTGAGAATTCCCCCCTATTTTTTCAGAGGAAGGGGGAATATTTTACATAGAGAAAGAAGGAAAAAGATCAAAAATGTAATAAATTCTCAATTTTCGATAAAAATCCCCCCTGTTTTTCGAATCCTAGAATAAACACTGATTAGAATTATTATAAGGAACAAGAGCTGTCACAGGAGACAGCGAAGCTCGACTAATAAAATACTGGACGCAGTAAGGAGGACAAAACTATGAAAGAAAAATCAATTATGTATAATTATGTATTAAGTTATAGTAAAAAAATAACATTTGTTAACATAAATTCCAAGATCAAGGGGAATAATTCTAGAAATAGTCATGCTAGAGTTATGGACCTTGCCACACAACATTTGTGTAATGATAAGAAATGTATATTTGAAGTTTGAAGTAGATACCTTAAAAAATAAAGATGTTATTATATTTCTTAAAGAAAATCCTAAGTTCAAAGAGAGATAAATCTGTAAATATTGCTTCAAGAGTTATGAACATTGTCACATAAAATGTAATTGATGATAAGGAATAAGTATTTGAAGTTTGAGGTAGATACCTTTTAAAATAAAAAAGTTTAAATAAAAAATAACATTTTTCTAGTAAATAAATCTAAGTTTATGGGGAGATAATTCTTGCAATATTGGTGCTAGAGTTATGAACCTTGTCACATAAGATGTGGATGATGATAACGTAAATATATTTGAAGTATGAAGTTGATCCCTTTAGAAATAAATAAGTTACAGTAAAAAATAATATTTTGTATGGAAAATTCTAAGTTCAAAGAGAGATAAATCTGAAAATATTGGTGCTAGAGTTATGAACCTTGTCATATAAGATGGGGATGATGATAATGTAAATACATTTGAAGTATGAGGTTGATCCCTTAAGAAATAAAGAAGAAACAGTAAGAAATAGTATTTTTTGAGGAAAATTCTAAGTTCAAGGGGAGATAAATCTGAAAATATTGGTGCTGGAGTTATGAACCTTGTCACATAAGATGGGAATGATGATAAGGTACATATATTTGAAGTATGAGGTTGATCCCTGAAGAAATAAAGAAGTATCAGTCAAAAAAGAGTATTTTTTAAGGAAAATTCTAAGTTCAAGGGGAGATAAATCTGAAAATATTGGTGCTAGAGTTATGAACCTTGTCACATAAGATGTGGTTGATGATAAGGAACATATATTTGAAGTTTGAAGTTGATACCTTAAGAAATGACAAAGTTATAGTGAAAAATATTTTACTGCACCAAAACTTTAATCTAAAATCTGGACGCGGACGCCGACGCCGACGCCGGGGCGAGTAGGACAGCTCTCCATATACTTCGTATAGTCGAGCTAAAAACGGGATGAGAGAATGATCTGAAATTTGCATACAAGTTATTGGTCCAGACCTACATCAAATGAGACATTATTCTTGAACAATTATTTCCAGTCCCTTCATGCCTCAGTGGAGTCACTTTAACTTCTTAAAAATAAAATTATATAATTTTTTAATGTATATCTATTTTATTGAGGTCCTTAATTTTATGAAATGTCCTTGTTTTATGAAATTGAAGTTAAACAGTTACAGTGGATAGTATTGCAAAAACTTTTAGCCCAACAATTAAATATTAACTGGGAAAAAACAATATTCAGCTTGAATGCTTATTTGTTTCTTTTACCTGAAGTTTAAGATCTGTTTAGAGACAGACTTTGCGAGATAATGATCTACTCTAAGTACTTCATCATCTCGAAAATGTTCACTTATAACATCAGCTTGTTTGGCTGCAGTTTCTTTGTTCAGTCCAAATGGTTTCTCTAGCACAACTTTTGTCGAGCTGATTTTTTCATGACGGCAATGGGTATGTATACTATGAGAGGCACTCTGATAGGCAGCCGACGGTATAGACAAGTAAAATATTTGATGTGTTGATATTTTTGTTCTATCGTCTGTCCGAAATTTTTCACACAGTTCGGTGTAATTTTCATCATATTTCAGCATCACATATTTCACATTTTCAATAAATTTAGGCCTCAGTTTTTCACATTTTTCATCATTTCTTTCACATTTGTTGCCATTTAATATTTCGATCAGGGCTTTTTCACCATCTGTTTGAGAAACCCTGGCTCCAGCAAAGAACGAAAATGTTTGATTTTCATTGTAGTTCTCAACAAACAGTGTCAAAGCACTGCCCCATAGATATTTCCTAGCCAAATCACCAGTGCCCCCTACTATGACAAAGTTGGTGCGATGAACTGTCTGTGTTTTAGACGTGTATAGTGTATTTAGGAAAAACAGTAAAATTATGACAAGTGGAGCCATCTTTAGCCCTGAAACATGAATAAAAGTGTGGGTATAATATATGATAATATGAGTTTTCGTTAACTTTACCAGTATTTATACCAGTATTAAACAAACTGAATATAATAATGAGTTATGAATAAATTAACAGGTTAAGAATATTTCACATGCACGACCAATGGTACAATGTAAAATGTGCTGATTGGCAGCATAACAAGAACTGTCGGAGGACAGTAACGCTCAACTATTCGAAAAGTTGTCACTGTGTGTTTCATTGAGTATAATAATGCTTACCTATATGAATACATAAAATTGTCCCAAAAAGTACAAAGGCTTGTTATTAAGATGTTTTATCGAGTGAATCACTGCTTTATTATTATGAATGCATAAAATTGTTCCAAAAAAAAGCACAAACCCTTCAGTAGTTATGGAGATACTAGCTTACAAGCAAAAACTTTACCAAGAATTTCTAACCCTAAAAAGGTGCATAATTATGAAAAAAAAATCAGAATTATGGGAAATATAGAAATTCTTGGTAAAGTTTTTGCTTGTGAAGGGAATGGATTGAAACTTCACACACTTGTTCTCTGTGATTATCTAACATGATCGGCACAAGTCCCATAACTAATCACAGAGAACAAGTGTGTGAAGTTTCAATCCATTCCCTTCAGTAGTTATGGAGATACCAGCTTGCACACAAAAACTTAACCAAGAATTTCTAAGTCGAAAAAGGGGCATAATTATGCCAAAAAAGCAAATCAGAGTTATGGGACTTGTGCCAATCATGTTAGATAATCACAGAGAACAAGTGTGTGAAGTTTCAATCCATTCCCTTCAGTAGTTATGGAGATACCAGCTTGCACGCAAAAACTTAACCAAGAATTTCTAAGTCGAGAAAGGGGCATAATTATTCCAAAAAAGCAAATCAGAGTAATGGGACTTGTGCCAATTATGTAACATAATCATAGAGAACAAGTGTGTGAAGTTTCAATCCATTCCCTTCAATAGTTATGGAGATACCAGCTTACACGCAAAAACTTAACCACAGGGACGCCGACACCGACAAATTATTCTGCGAATAGTCGAGCTAAAAACTTCAGATCTATTAGTCCTTTTCCTCTTGATCTGAATCAGCTGGTGAAATTGAATTACAAACATTCATAAACAATTGTTATATACTTGAGTTGTCACCAATACGCAGGTGCCCAGAATCATGCCTTTATATGAAGGTCAAAGTGAAACAATGAGGGTAATCTATTTATGACAGGCAACAATGTTCTTTTGAAAATTGGTCAGTGCGCTGGATGAAATTTTCTCTTGATGTTTTCAGGAAATAAAGTTGCCCTGACTAACTAACGCTATGAGATACTTACTTATTGATGCACATAAAAGGTTGGCAATAGAAATAAATATATGGCACATGTACACTGCCACCAGTGATTTTCCTCTTTATATAACACAGGCCTTTAAAAGACCTCTTCCCAATTGAAATTTTCTTTAAAATCATGCCGTTTTCCCAAAAATCTGACCATGCCCCAGGTTTTTTACTTCCCTAATTAGCAATTTTAGTGATAGTCTTTCCCAAAATCAAAAGGCTAAAACCATTTCCCAATTAAGTAAGAAAAACAATTGTGCCACTTCTACATAATATAGACTGTAAGTACATACCAAATTTCTTCTTGATTTTCCTTGTAAATCTAACCATTGAGGCAGAAACTTTTATACAATCCCCATGTCTTCATATCTATTAAGAGACACAATGAGTCAATTAAATGTACAATAAATATTTTTGCAAATGGTAAAATAATCTACAAATAATGCATCGACAGTCTACTGAAAATTTATGTATACATCATTTTTTTTACATGTATATATAATTTGAGCCACGTCATGACAAAACCAACATAATGGGTTTGCGACAAGCATGGATCCAGACCAGCCTGCGCATCCGCGCAGTCTGATCAGGATCCATGCTGATCGCTTACAAACCCTATAACAAGTAGAGAAACTGATAGCGAACAGCATGGATCCTGATCAGACTGCGCGGATGCGCAGGCTGGTCTGGATCCATGCTGGTCGCAAACCCATCATGTTGGTTTTGTCATGACATGGCTCATTTCTTCTTTTTTTTGGTTGGGTTTTACATTGCACCAACACAAAAAGCTCATATATCAACTTGTCAGCTTTACTGGTCAAGGGAGACATAAGGTGCCTCTCTGTGCATAATTTTGGGCATGAGTGAGTGAGCATACCAGTTTAATCACTGACGTTCCATAAGCTAGGTAATATACAAAATGTACACTTCTTCTCATAACTTGTTATTCATGATTCTACAGAGTGATTACACATAATAAATAAAGTAACCAAATATAATTTCTTATTCAGCTGTCAATTTCATAGGCATATAAACAAGTGAATTATCAATTTTCTCATGAAATTACATGTAGGTAAAAATTGGCCCTAGTATTAGTTGCTGTGTAGCACGAGGTCATTATTAGTCTCTTGATAAATGGTTTCAGGCACCTTTGTTTGTACAGTATTATATGTTACAGTTCTTATTTTTACTGAGGTAGTGTATACCGGTAAGTATTTTTTCCAAGGTTTTGTGTAAAATGATTTCTTTGATTTCTCCAAAATGTGATAGGGACCTGATTCTTCTGATGCATAATATTTCTTAAATCTTTCCGCGAATGACAGAATTTTTGAGCGGACACTAACATCATGTTCTTTTATAAAAATTCATATAATGACTTTTTGAGGTAGGGACCCACTTCTTGCAGTTGACACATCGTTTTTATGCCCAACACATTTATACATAAATCATTCAGGAATGACAAAATTACTGACCCGGCATGAACATCATGCATTTTTATATAAATTCATATCATGACATTAATTTTGATCTACAAGTGTGACCCTGACCTTTAAGGTAGGGACCTAATTCTAGCATGTTACACATCATCAATATGTTCAACTGATATATGCATATTATTTTTGTGTCGCCTTGAAAGGCGACATATAGGGGTTACTTTTGTCGGCCGTGTCGGTGGCGTCCGTGTCGGCGTCGTTGTCGGCATCCCCTAAAGCTTGTCTGGAGCATAACTCAGTCACTATAAGTCTGATTGACTTCAAACTTGGTATGCATGCTTCTTTCAACCCAAAGTGCAGTGCATAAGGACCGGTACTATGCAGTTCTAAATTTTTGAGTTATTGCCCTTTGTTAATTTTCATACTTTAATTTTGTCCGGGCCATTTCTCTTCAACTAAAAAAACTATGGACTTGAACCTTCATATAAAGATAGATCTCATTAAGAAAAAGTGCAGTGCACAAGAACAGGTACTCTGCACTTCCTAATTTTTGAGTTATTGCCCTTTGTTAATTTTCATACTTTATTTTTGTCCGGGCCATTTCTCCTAATGTATAAAAGCCATGGGCTTGAAACTTCATAGGATGATAGATCTCATTCAGAAGAAGTGCAGTGCACAAGAACCGGTACTCTGCATTTCTTATTTTTTGAGTAATGGCCCTTTGTTAATTTTCATACTAAATTTTTGTCCGGGGCATTTCTCGGAAAGTATAAAAGCTATGGACTTGAAACTTCATAGGATGATAGATCTCATTAAGAAGAAGTGCAGTGCACAAGAACTGATACTCTGCATTTCTTATTTTTTGAGTTATTGCCCTTTGTTAATTTTTACACTTTATTTTTGTCCTGGTCATTTCTCCTTAAGTATGAAAGCTATGGACATGAAACTTCATAGGATGATAGATCTCATTAAGAAAAAGTGCAGTGTACAAGAACCGGTACTCTGCACTTCTTATTTGTGAGTTATTACCTTTTATTAATTTTCATACTTTATTTTTGTCCAGGCTATTTCTCATAAATTTTAAAAGATATGGACTTGAAACTTCATAGAATGATATAGATCTTATTGATAAGAAGTGCAGTGCACAGAAACTGCTGCTCTGCACTTATTATTTTTTGAGTTATTGCCCTTTGTTAGTTTTCATATTTCATTTTTGTCCTTGCCATTTCTCCTAAACTTTATTGTTCACAAGGCGACACATCCCACTCACGGAGTTCTAGTTTAAAGCAATCCAACAATGACAGAATTGTTGACCAAACACAAACATCAGTGTTTTTTTATTAAAAATTTCCTTTGAAGTCTTGAGTGTGACCTTGACCTTTGAGCTTCAGGCCTAGATCTTGCACATGACATATTCCTTCCATATGCTACACATTTATACAAAATTATTTCAAAGTCCATCTATTATAAGTGAGAAAGTTATTGACCAGATAAAAAGTTTCTGTGTGATTTCAAGAGTTGCTTTAATTAGCATTTCTGATGCTCTTAAAGATAATTCAAATATGATTTTAGACAGTTCAAAGCTTGCACTCAATATTCAAGTCCCGGTGAAATTTCATAACAGAAAAGGTTCTTATTATTGTGTCGCCTAAATAAACGTCAACATATACAATAAAAGGGAAACTTTTGTTGGCGATGGCGGCATGGTCGGTGTCTCCTAAGCTTGTCTGGAGCATAACCCAGTCACTATCGGTAAGATTGACTCCAAATTTGGTAAGCATGCTTCTTTCAATGACCCAAAGTGCAGTGCACAAGAATGGTTTCTCTGCACTTCCTATTTTTTTGAGTTATTGCCCTTTATATTTTCATACTTTATTTTTGTCTGGGCCAATTTTCCTACACTTTTAAAGCTATTGATTGAAACTTTAAAGGATGATGGATCTCATTGAGAAGAAGTGCAGTGCACAAGAACTTGTACTCTGTACTTCACGATTTTTGAGTTATTGCCCTTTGTTAATTTTCATACTTCATAGGTTTGTCCAGAGCATAACTTGGTCACTATAAGTTTAATTGACTCCAAATTTGGTGTGCAAGTTTTTTTTATTGACCTGAAGTGCAGTGCACAAGATTTCATCACAGAGTCTTCCATTTGATCCGTCAGTGTAAAACTTGTCCATGGTAATTTTGATGATATAACAGTTTTGTTAATCCTGATGTAACCTTGCTACAATCAGTTCAAATGCCAGTAAACTGAGTAATGTAAAGGTAAATATACATTGCAAGAGCAGTGCTTATAAATAATAGAAATAGACCTGTTGAATTGCAACTTTTCAATTAGAATGTCCCCCCAAGCACTTCTAAAATGTGCACAGAGGCTTGGGGGTCAGATTCTTCCCCCAACGTGATACGCCTCTGTAACCACTCTATATTTAAACACGAATTGAACATCTGTTACAATAAAAAAACTGGTTTTCAAACATTTTTACATATATGAAAAAATGATGTATACCATTCATTTAGTCTCAATAAAATGGAGTTTGTTATACATTGAATGCTTGCAGTCAGTTTAAATGTGCTCAATATAATTGATCCACATCTCAAGTGTCTGTGGCATTGTGAATTTGTGTAGCCACCAATGGGTTTAAACAGAGATCTGCCGAGGACGCGACTTTGCGCCATTGGCGCTAAAAAAATGAGAATGGCGCAGGAAAATCGGAAGCAAAGGGCCATGGGCGCATCTAAAATCTGTGCCAGACTTATAAGAAAACAAAACTGTCTGCTGGGTTATTTTACTTATTTAGTCATCCAGTCAAAACTGGTACCAACAGCAACATGTTACCCATGGTCCTGTAATTACGCATATTCTTGAGTTTATCCATTCCCCTATAGCTTTTGTCCATGTTATCTACTTACCGCATTTCTTCTCATAATCCCTTTCCCACACAGATACTCATTTCTACTACCGTAAATTTAATCCAATGAAACAAACAAACAAATTATACAACTACTTAATATTTAAAATGATTATCGGTGACTGAAAAAAAAGTGTTGCTATTTTAAGAAATGCTGTAAGTTACAGTATAATCTGACAGGTGTTCAACTTGATCAACCCTAAGGTCACTCAAGTTCACGCAAGTTTGGGCTGATGAAGTGTAAAAAAAGATGTATATTTCGTCATCAGAATATTTGACAGGGTGATTAACCAATCAGAGAAACATTGTGCATGACTTTTTTCATGATCAAAAGGTCTTTCGGCAAATGTCTTTGAGGTATGCTGTCTTCACAGAGGCATACAAGAGGCAATAAAATTCGTAAATATACAGTGGTAAGGGACATTTGGTGCAAAGTATGAACAATTAAATGGATAATGCACAATATAAGACATTACAAGTAAGAACCAACAATTATGTGAATAAATTTGCATATCAAATTTTTGAGCAGCCATTTAAAAAATATTTTGCCTGCAATTAATATTAGTTAGAAAGTTACCATGTAGGCATAATTTTTAATTATCTACAAACTTTTAAACAGTTTTTTTGGTCAATGTTTACTTATTTTCCCAAGGCCCATACTTTGGTAAAAATGGCCCATCATTTTCAGACCAAGTGGGCCCAGGGCCCAGTACTTTCAAATTCTTGGCAGATCTCTGGTTTAAATTATAATGTACCATAATTTCTGTCAAAGAGCTCGCTTTGAGGCCTTGCCTTATACATATTAAATTAACCAACATCATTCATTTGTGCAAATAGCTAATTGAGTGGTAAAAAACATCAAATGGGGAGGAACAGGCTGTCAGGATTGAAATGTCAGGGAGGGAACTGTTCAAGGCCTAGACTGGACTACCAAATTAAATTTAGTAGTGCGCAACCTAAAACTATATGTCACTGTTGCTCATTTACACGTTACCGAATTTAGCTTAATTTGTCATTAATAAACAACTTTTAAGTCTCGATTTCAATAAGCAGATAATACCAACACAATTAGAAAAATAATTTAAAGAAAATCAAAGCTTTTCACAAGTTACAATATACAGTAAACATACATTTACTTTCGGTTTCATATTCGCCTTTTTAGCACCGTACATGTATATAAATTCGAAATTAGGCCCTCGAATTTTAATAAGACGCTCACAAAATGAAAGTATCCTCAAAACCAACTTTTGTCACTATATGTATCAAATTTTTCAGGTTTATATGCCTATGTGAGATTTAATTGTTTCAGCTGCGTTTCAACTACCAAAAAAATACGAATATATTAAACAAGAAAAGCTAGAGAAAAATCAAAATGGCTGCGTCCAATTTAGCCAGGCTTACAACTAAAAATTCGGCATTATTTCTTTGTGACATGCAAGAAAAGTTCCGGAAAACAATATCTTTTTACCCACAAATTCTAACTGTTTCATCAAGAATGTTGCAAGCTTCGCAGATTTTAGATATACCAGTTGTTGTCACAGAGCAGTATCCAAAAGGTTTTGTTTACTTAGGGGGCGTCTCAAATTATTTGTTGTATGTCAAAATCTAGGTTTAATCTGCCATGCATGTGTCTTGCAGTGTTGCGACATGGGCAATGCTTATGAAAATTTCTCATGAACTACCGATAAACACATTTTGCAATTTATAAAAAATACACAAGTGAGATTCAGCAATAACACAAAAAGTTAGCATTTCTTCCATTTATTGACCAGCTAAACACTGTTTTCCGTTACCTTACGGATTTAGCTCTTGGAAATAACACCAAATGAAGTACATAACACAATTACATGATATTTCTATTTTTCTATCATTATTTTACCAAAACAAAATTGATGTGTTTGCAAATTATCAATATTCCTTTAATATCTTTTGCAAATTTTTCAAAAAATAAATTGTTTTTATTACATGCTTTTGGTGGTTTATACGGGGAAGTCAAAGTCAAAGGCTTTGGCTTGCCCGGCTATAGACTACACGTGTATATTTAAAAGAAAATCAAATAAAAAAACAATTAAAAAATATATAGAATTCTATACCTATCAATGAAATTTTCAGTGTCAGTTCTGGTTAGGCGCCGCCATTTACAATGTAACTCAATGATAAAAGGCGGTATATTCCTAAAACGGAACAAATCTCAACTTTTCGGATTAATAATAATCGTCGAGTGTTCCGAGTGAAAACGGAAGCGGGTATATATAATACCGAATGACACCTTTAAAACGGAAACAATGAAAGGATTTTTTACCGACTTCCCCGTTCATAGGCTTTGCCTAATTTCATATTAGAAATATATCGGTGATATAAAACTCAATGTGGCCATACCACGTGACTTTTCGGGTACGGAACACGCCGATTTTTCACCCGATTCAGGTATGTTTTTTATTCACAACTTATTTATTACTCAACCGATTTTGATGAGATAAGGCGCAGAGTACCCGTAATTATATCACCTATCCACGGTATATCAAAATTCTGAAAACCCCTGAATGGTTTTTGAGAACATTCGAGTACAGTTTTCTTTTCATAGCCTGGGCCGAGGGGAACGGTACACACTCATTTGTCATAACAAGCAATTTCTAGCAAGTCATATGTTTTTTGACACTATTTCATAGAAAAATACATGTTAAATCTGATATATTTACTATGTCCAATGTATCGAGTGAATGCAGTGATGTTTTAGCAAATTTCATAAAGTTATGTTGAAATGATACGGAACACACTGTTATTTCAAAAGATACGGTACACACACAATTTCTGTCTTTGTTATAATTCTAAAATAAAATATAAAAAATAAAAATAATTTCAATTATAATGTGAGTGATTCTTTTCATAGTTAAACATTTTATTAATTTAAACGAGACCCCAGGGACCTGTTTTGCAATGTATCATAATGCTTACTTTTAATGTTTATATGTATTTGTGCACTATATTTCAAGAGATCACACTTAACATTAACAACCTCCATGTAATTGTTCTATTTAAAATTACCTAGGATATTTTAAACACTTCGATCTTCACAGAATCAGGTAGTTGCGCTCTATAGAAAGAAAATGTTGTTATATAATGCTGTGTTTATTGTTGTTTTTTTATTTCTTTTAGTTTAAGTGAAGTAAGATATGTCTTTTTGCTTCATCCTGAAAAAATAAAACAAGGTTCATCCTAATCGCTGAAAGTATCATTACTTGATAACAATTTATATATATTTATATTTTGTTAATTATAATAAGCAAGTCATTAGGTACAATCTTTTGCAATATCATGGTCATGTTTAATTAAATCAAATCACAGAAGGCGCTGAATTTGTTTGGGTCTCAGAATGTCAGGGAAAGGTGAAGGCTGTTGAGATTGTAAACCAATTTTGTTTTTGTATAGTGCCACCAATGTTGTTTCTTGTGTCATAACTGTAGTAAATTGGCTAAAAAGGCTTATTGCAACACTGATATGTAATTCATTGTTTATTTCGCTTAAAACAATTAAAACAAAAACAAAACAAAACATGAGTTGCCTTAACTTGGATTTGAACTACAGGAATCTCTCTTCCTAGGCGAGCGTGTAACCCCTCGACCACGGGAATGTTATATAGATAACAGCCTGAAGAAAACCATATCATTCTAAATAGGTTTGTAACCCTTATTTAATTTCCTTTGACATTGATGTAAATATCATGGAGCTTAATATTACATGTATATCTGTAAAGAACTTACACAATATTTGAAATCTTTGACCATCGGGAACTACTTTTTCTTCTCCCGAGAAGGACTTTGAAAATTTATGCGCCCGTTCATTTGAAATCTTAACACAGTGATCTCCCCTTATTTTTTTCAGCGTCTAGAGTACAAAGAAAAAACGGTAAGTAAACCGCTTCCAGGGGTTCGGACTACTTTCTTATTTTGCAAATAAGCATATCAGAGCCTGAAATTTCGCTACCATTATTTTTTTGGTTTTTTGACGACCCAAAACAAATAAAAAAATGTAGTCGCCATTGCTTAAAGTTTTAATGTTTTAAAGGCATTGAAGCTTTAAAAATTAACTTTTTTTAATTCATGTAATTATGTCATTTTTGGTTTGGGGTTTCACAGGGCTCATAAAACTGACATTATCATGTGGCGTCTTTCGAGTTTTACAAGTGCCCTTTGGGTATTAATAAAGGAACGGAACGGGCACCTGAGTAAAACGACCGACATTCTGTACGGTAGTAAGAAAACTTTCTCACATAAAAAATTGAAGCATCGAAGTCACTTGTGGTCTCGTACCTACTTCATGTAGTATATAAAAACAGAACACAGGCCTCCCAAAATCCATAGCATTTGATTGACAAAATGCCGGTTATTATTGAAATATCATTTTAAATTTTAACACAAACACGCAAGCACACATATCCATGAACTCAAGTGTTAATGCATCTTGAAATGAAAGTCCAAGATAGGCATAATTTTTACCAAAATTTCCTAACATGTATATCCTTACATGTATATGTAACAAGGTTACCTTGTTTAAACTACGTTACGAAATATAACAGGCCTTGTTCCCATATGGGTTCTTCAAATTATCAAATTATTAATTTTGATTGCACGTAAAACTGCGAAATATATTTGTCCATATGTAGATAATTTGATAACTTAGATACATGCAGTTAGTTTGGGACCCTGGCAGATGATTCATACCAAATATCATGTGGCCGAAAAAAACATTTTGCAAGGAACATATATTTCCAACTTACTCCTAACTTCTTGTTTGTTTATATATTCATACTACGTTTAGACAGTCATTTATATATTCGAACAAACAAATTAAATGAAATAATAATCGCACATAACAGATGTCCATGAATTTTACAATTCGTTTTATAATCCAAAAGAATTTTTTTCAAATAATCAAAACAAAACAAAATTTTGAATGTCTTCCCTAAAATTTTAACATTTTATAGCCAAATATTCATTGCTCAACATATAAAATCGAATTTTGCGTAACATACTCTCAAAATGTTCTTTTTTTTTTAAAAATCCTGTTTACATCAAACTGTAGGCATAATGATACTTTGCAAAACAGGTCCCAGGTTTCTCGTTTAAATTAATAAAATGTATAACTATGAAAAAAATCACTCGCATTATAATTTAAATTAATTTTTTTATATATTTTATTTTAGAATTGTTTCAAAGACAGAAATTGTGTGTGTACCGTATCTTTTGAAATAACAGTGTGTTCCGTATCATTTCAACATAACTTTTATGAAAATATGCTAAAACATCACTGCATTCACTCGATACATTGGACATAGTAAAATATATCAGATTTAACATGTATTTTTCTATGAAATAGTGTCAAAAAACATATGACTTGCTAGAAATCGCCTGTTATGCCAAATGAGTGTGTACCGTTCCCCCTCGGCCCAGGCTATGAAAAAGAAAACTGTACTCGAATGTTCTCAAAAACCATTCAGGGGTCTTCAGAATTTTGATATACCGTGGATAGCTGATATAATTACGGGTACTCTGCGCCTTATCTCATCAAAATCGGTTGAGTAATAAATAAGTTATGAATAAAAAACATACCTAAATCGGGTGAAAAATCGGCGTGTTCTGTACCCGAAAAGTCACGTGGTATGGCCACATTGAAACTGGTAATTTCACTGTTTTAAACAGTGAAATTATCAATTTCATAATTTCACTGTTTTGAATTTAAAGCTACATTAAATAAATATGTTAAAATATTTTTGCCGTCGGCCTAAAAACCAAGCATTCTACAGTTTCATTAACCTTTTTAACAGTATCGTTGTAAATCTCATCAAAAATTGTTCATAAATTAAGATTTTAAATGGTAAACCCCACGGTAACACTAAAGTTCGTATACGAATTTTTACATGCAATTGCAGACTATACTCAGCTCGTGTATGCGCTACGTCACGGTGTTAAAGTTGCTATCCGGAACACAGCAAATATAAGATTTTCTTGTGCAAACACACTTTTACCGTTTAACCTTCACGGTGCACTAGGTCTGTGGTTCAGAAAAAATATTTATCTCATAAAAAAGATTAAATTTGTATGAAAATATCCGTTACATTGTGGAAATATACCGTTAAATTAGGACTGCTACTTATAGTCATGTTTGTTGATTTAATATTGATGTACAGATGATCTGAAGGCGGAGTTTTT